TTCCTGAGCTCCTCTCTAGATTTATTAATCATGTCTTGCACTAGGTGCACAATTTCTCCTGTTATCTGAGAAATTATTTCTTATTTCATTTTTCCAGATCCCCTTTTGCTGCCAGTTCAGTGGGTCCAGGTGGTTGAATATCAGAGTGTTCCATTGTGGAGAGCGGTGTTAGCTATGGAGAGCAGTGTTAGCCATAGAGGATCCATGTTTAATCTTACCCTCCATAATATAGAGCAAGGAGACTATGTTATGAGGAACCACGTACTTGCCGAATTAGATTGCCCTGGAACGTTATGAACGTTCTGTAAGCCCGAGAAACAAGGAAGCCCATGAGGGTGGGGAATTCCCAAAGAGCTGGTAAACAACGAAGCAGGTGTTTTGGATAAAGGTCACGGTTAATGACCTAACTCACTGAGTGTATAAAAGAGAGGAGAAAATAAACTTGCTTGCTCGGTCTTGGGAGCCCTCCCGACTCTATCTCTGTGTCTTTCTTTTTCCTTAGGCTCGGTCTTTGTGGGCCCTCCCGTCTCTCTGTTTCTTTTTTCTCAATCCTCAAGTCCCCACTCAGGTCTTGTTCGACAGGTTGCGGCCGGACCTCGACATTCCATCTCATTTCCCTTTGGGGTTGCTGTAGGTGATCTGGAAGTCTGGTTTTGAGACTTATTTATGTGTTTTCTCATTTTGACTGGGGGTGGGGGCTGTTAGCGCCTGCACGGATTACCTCCTCTGAGCTGGGAGAGGTGGGACAGGGACCGGGATCAGCGGTAGGGATGGTGGCCCAAAAGCCCTTTCCTGTGGGCTGTGGGCACTGGGAGGGATGGTGGCCAGGAAGCCCCTTCCTCTGGTCCAGGCACGGTGGGATGGCATCTCAGAAGCCCCTTCCTCTGGGCCAGGAGCAGCGGGACAGAAGGTGCCCCAAAAGCCCTTTTCTCTGGGCTGGGAGCAGCAGGAGGGATGGTGACCAGGAAGCCCCGTTCTCTGGACCAGGAGCAGTGGATCGGCGGCTCAGAAGCTTCTACCTCTGGGTGAGGAGCGGCGGGACTCAGTACCGTGGTCTGGTGGTCCGGTGTCCTCTGTGTCTTTGTAGTGTGGAACCGGGTGGCTGTACAGAGGAGCGGGGAGGAGGCCCAGTGGATTGTTGCCGGGGCATGGGCTGATTTGGCATGTTCCGTGGGACTGGGGACCTCGGTAGTGAGTGCACAGACCTGCCTGTCTGCAGCGGGGTGATTCGGCATCTTCCCCGTGACTCGGGACCTCGGTAGGACGTGCACAGACCTGCCTGTCTCTACCTTGTCCTTTTTTAATGTTTACGTGGTATTCCATAGATGGATGTTCTATGTTTTATTTAGCTCCTCCTCTAATGATGCATATCTAGGTTCTTCCCAGTATTTTCCTATTATAATCAACCATTGGTATCAACTTCACTCTTGCTGTCTATAATCTAGAAGTAGAATTGCTAGGTTAAGAGATATTCAATGTTTTATTGTTTCTGATGTATTGCCATCCAAAGAAGTTGCACCAATTTATATTCTACCCCAAAACATATGACAGAGTGTTTATCTCCTAACACACTCACCGACATATGTGCTTTGAAGACAGTTTGATAGGCGAGGGATAGAGTCTGATAGCTTAAATTTGCATGTCTCTTATGAATGAGATTGAGAATCTATGTATTTAAAAGTTACTTGCATTTTCTTTTTCAGAAGTGTTTTTTTTCTCATGCATAGTTGGATTTTTAAAAATTTATTTTTAGTGTGGAAATAAGTATGGAGATATCTCAAAGAACTAGGACTAGAGGTCCCATTTGACCCAGCTATTCCCCTGCTGGGTATCTTCCCCAAAGAATTAAAAGAATCATACC